AGCAACAACTCGGCCCAACTTGCTAGATATTATCTACTTTGGGCCTTAACGCCCTCACGGTTTTATTCCTGGTGATGCGGGCCCACATCTGAGCTTGATGCCTCAAAACATGTATGACAAGTTGCAACTAGTACTCTTAATAAGAACAACTACCAATCCTTTACCCGCCAATGTGGGATATGAAAATCCAGCCCACTTAACGAGCTCGATGCCCCGATTGGCACAATCGGACAACAGTGAGGTTTGGCTCCGATGCCAACTATAATAATCTCAACTTGTAAACTCAAAATAAATGATATATATATATATATATATGTGCGTGTCTATATATATATACACATTATTTTTTTAAAATTTTGGCAGAGTTTCTTTGTATTCTTTAAATATCAAGTTATCAACTCAATCATTTCTTAACACATTATTTTTTCAAAATTTTGGCAGAGTTTCTTTGTATTCTTTAAATATCAAGTTATCAACTCAATCATTTCTTAACCTGTAACATCAATCACAAAATTGGTCTCATCATTTGGACTTCCAAAACTCAAGTATATTTTAATATCTCAATTCTATTTTCTATAGAACACTATGATAAAAGCTAATAAATTCTTAAAATATATATACAACCAACCATGATTCAACTTAATAATAATAACATTATAAATTACATCATACACAAGATAATAAGTTAAACATTACAATGTTTAGATATGAAAGTACATTACAACAAAATATTAGTTCTTTCAATTATATTAATCACATAACAAAATTAATTATCCAAACATCTACTTTCCAGATCGAGGGTGCGATGTACCTAAAAATATAATCACATTAACATGATTAAAAAGTTGCACCTTTAAATAAATAATTAATTAAGGACTAACTATTCATATACATTAAAATGACTTTCATATCATTGAAAAAATTGTCTTATTTTCTTTTGAAATTTCTAATTTTATAAATTCTCTTCTAGATATAGAGATAAATCTACTAAAATAAAAATATCAAGAATATCTCCCACAAACCAATATATTTAACTTCAAAGTTTTATAATTAATTCATTTTACATCATGTAATTATCCCATAAATTCGTAAATTAATTTTTCTTAACATGGTCATTCAACTAAGCATAAATTCCAGTAATCAGGAAATAATTTTCAAGATTTGCCGATTCAACATGGTATTATTTCCAATAACCAGGAAATATTTTTCAAGGCTAGCCCATTCACCAGGGTATTATTTTCAGTAACTAGGAAATCAGGACATTATTTTCAGCAACCAGAAAATATTTTTTTCAAGGTTTGCCTATTCACCAAGGCATTATTTCCAATAACCAGCACTAAAATTTACAATCTATACAATTCTTTTTACAACAAAAAATAAACTAATTAATTATTTCAAGGTGTCAAACACCTACCTAGTATTTATGTATATAAAGAGGTCCCTTGTTACTAGTTAAGTCCCGCGGCCTCCTCTGTACCAACACAAATTACTACGTTATTTACATTTATTGGTACCAGTAAAATTTTCAATACCAATTACATACTTGTTGAATATACTCAACATCCTTAATTAAGCTTAACTAAACCATTCATTTATTTATTTACAAAAGTCATTATTCAATAACTTATCAACATCAATTATCTTCAATAGGGCAAGATCCCTCAATAATATTATCAAAACTCAAATTTTGTTTCTAATTTTCTTCTTTTAACCGAAATCAACCTAAGGAAGCAAGTAGAGATTTTTTTGTTCTTTTCTCTTTGAAAAATTCTTACTCCTTTCATAATATATTTCTTCCCATATTTTCTAAATAATTGTATTAAAACCTCAAATCCCCTAATTATTTCCTCTTTTGGCTGAAAGTTCAATCAAAATAGGGAGGAAATAATTTTTGTTTCTTTTATTTAGAATTAAACACTTACCCAATCTTAATACATGCTTCAATCATAATTTGTATCATTCCCATAATCTATAACATAATCCCATAATTTCAATTCTACAAAATCCTTCATCAAACATAAAATTAGAGGAATGAATCATTTGGAGCATGTTATTTGCCTCACTTTGATAAGGATTTAAGGAAAGAATGCAAGAAAAAAATAAGTTTTCTTCTCCTCACTCTTCAAACCCTAGCTTGAATTTCTTCTTTCAAAGCGCTCACCACCTTAAAATCACCCTGTCTTAATGTTTATCTAAGCTAATCACTCTAATTACTCACTTTAATTGGTAAAATTATCAAGAATTTGTGTAAACAAATCACACAATTTCTCCCTCTCTCTTGGTTTCACACTCTCGACTAAAAGAGAAAAAAATTGGAGTATTTATAATCTAGATTTTATTTATTTACACATTGGCCCTCATTAGTTTTTATTTCTATGTTTGTCACTTAAATTCCTCTTTTTACTTAATTACACCACAACACCTTACCTTTTATTCAATTGTGTCCATTTACAATACTTGAAATCCCTTTATTTAATCTATTCGATATTTTATTTTGTTCAGATTATAATTTATCAGGTTTTCACAATAACTCATCGTGGAGTCGGGCGCGGACGTGTCCTGGCCTAACATTAAGCTAAGCACGGACACGTCCCTAATCCACCATAAGTTTAGACGCGAATGCATCCTACCCCAATGTGGGGTTAGGCGCGGACATCTCGTGACCCAACTTGGAGTTAGGTGGGGACGCGTCACGGCCCAACTTCGAATTGGGCATAGACATGCCCCTACCTAACTTAAAGTTGGGCACGGGCATGCCATGACTTAATATGAAGTTAGACGCCGAGAAAGACATAACCTCATTTTAAGTTGTGACTTTCATGTATTGACTTTTAAATGAGGAGGTTTTAAGAAACCATGATCCATCAGAATCAAAAGAAGAACAAAGTTGCAATACAAATAATACAAAAACCTCTATCTATTTAATTAATCATTCAACAATAAAAATTATATAAAAAAAATTACCAATAAAATTTTATTTTATAAAGTTTTATCATACTATCACTTAAAGGTTTATCGGTGTCCATTTTTAGGTCAAAACACCAACATGCAATAAAAAATTGATAATAAAAATTTAAAGCACAACCAACAATAAAGAATTCTTATAGTCTAATTATTCTCGATCTTGATTTGCATGCTCTGTCCCTTGTGGAACTAATTTGATGTAATTAGGTTTGCAATAACGAGTAATTTAAAGTATTTAGATGTGCATCTCCTATAACTAGACAAGGATTTGCCCTAGACACATTATGTGGATTGCCTAACGTATACATTTACGGATCAGTAAGATAGTTTTAGGCCCAAAAGGAGGTTTGATTATGCTAGACCATAATAACAGCTCAAAAAAATCATAACTTTTTATCCAACCATTGGATTGTGCTCAAAGTTTTATAGGATTTTTCAAAAGCTGTTTTTCAGTCATCAAATCTTTAGATTTTAAAAATCTCGCTCCAGGGTTCTAGTTTTGGTAATTTTTATGATTTTTCTTATTATTTTTTAATTAGCTAATGTAGAGTTTCTGGTGTATTTAAGATTTTGTAAATCTTTTAAAGAGCAGACTTTATCATTATTATTCTAAAAAAAATAAAACTTGTAAACTTGAAATTTACAACAAAAACCTTTTTCGCTCATTAAAATTCTTCTATTTTTTCTTTGTTTTACTATCTTCAGCTTCCACCTTAATCTTGATTCATCCTACCTTGCCTTTATTCCCTGAGTGGCTTCACTACAATCCATGAGACAATTTAAAACTCCTACATGAAAAAAAAAAAAAGATTATCAATGGTCTCATGTCAGGGTCTCATCTACTTCCACCTTCATAGACACTCCTTTTCCTTTGCTAATTTCCGTTCATACGATAAATTTTATATATGTTTATTTTCTTAGATCTCCATCTCTACTACTGAGCCAAAGTTTTATTAACCACAAGCTCTCGACATTGAGGTTTAAGCTGATAAAATTCCTTGCACTGTTCACAATAACTCTTGCTAATTACAACGGCCCCGGCCGTCAGATTTGGTATTTCTATCAGCTGCTTCTAAACAAGGAAAAAAACTCCGATTTAATATATTTTCGTAATGCAGGAGCCATGGTTTTACACCTGGTTTTAAGGCTGTTTTCAAACATCACACCGGCATCCTATCGAATCTCAGGCCGAGTGGCCCTGTTTAAAATTTGCATAAAAAAGTCTTTCGAAATTCAAAGTTTAGACATCACAATGGAGCTCAACAACAAAATTGGTTTCCTCAGATTCCAAATTGTTATAAAAAGAAACAACTAAGACGCTTGATTAATTCTGCAAGATTCTTCCCAGAAAATAATGGAACTTCCAGGCTTCAGCTGAGAAATGCAGAGAAATCTGATGCCCTGACAGCATGCAGGTATCAACCAGGCCTAGGCTACAACACTATATCTCCGATACTGTCCACATTATTACACAGTTACAAAAACGAAGCAAACGAAAGAAAATGTCGCATTTCTTCACATCTGATAGGCAGCTGATGCTCGATGGCCTTCCATGGATGCTCCTTTATCCAATAACAGCGAGCTCCATTGGACGAATAATTGACGACCTACAATTGGTAGACGAAGAGAATCAAAAATAAAGTTGAAACTAAACTTCTTATCGCAAATGTCTACAAACTGAAAACAAAACAAAACATTAATTGCAAATGCTCTCACCACGCGCATTGTTCTTCTTCACCAATGTTACTGCCTTCTTCTACTTCTTTGAGCTCTTCTGCCAAGATTCTTGCTTCTTTTATCCAGTTGAGGGAAGATTCTGGAAACTACACGATTAACATGTGTGTAGTACCATGTTCTCCATCTCTTGCAAAACATAAGAGGTAGAATAATAATTCCCAACCCGAAGATATACCCTAATTCGGCACTTAAGATGTTCCAGTCAATCTCTATACCAGAATTTGAATGAGTGGTAACTATAGGCGGATACTCATGGCTGCAAATGTCACTCAAAGGCGAACCACATAATCCTTGGTTACCTTCAAAGGAATCGGGTGAGAACGTCTGGATTTGAGCGCCTGTTGGGATCCTTCCCACTAGCCTGTTATATGAGAGATTCAGGACAGAAAGGAATGACAGGCTTGCAAGCTGCTGAGGAATTACTCCGGAGAGATGGTTGAATGAGAGATCCAAGGACTCCATCTGCGACAAGTTTCCGACAGATGATGGAATTTGGCCTGTGAGATCATTGTGAGACAAGTTGAGAACATGGAGTCCAGTTAATTGTCCTATGGATTCTGGTATTTCACCTTCAAAATTGTTGCTCGACAAGTCAATGGAAATAAATACGGTTAATATCTTCACCAGCTCCAACTCAAGACCCTTCATGGTGACCGTTATTGAATCTTGATAATACAGTCCATCCGTCATCGTCAGGAGATCATATTTTATGTGCTCAAGGTTTCTGTTTCCACCTTCCATCATTCCTTCCCACGTTTTCAAGAAAATATAAGGTAGATTTCCTCTGAAATGGTTGAAAGCTAGGTCGACGATCTGAAGCCTTGGCCAAGTGCCTTTGATGTGTGCACATCCAATAAGCCCGGAGAACGTGTTGTTTCGCAGAACAAGGACACGAAAACTCGATATGCTCTTAAGAAGACACGGGAACCTGTCATTGATTTGATTGTTCCCAAGGTCTAAAACCTCTAACATAGCGCAATTGGTCAGAGATTTTGGAACCTGCCCTTGAAAGTTGTTTCCACTCAGATCCAGAGTCTTCAATTCACAGCTTCTTTGAAATTTATCAGGAATAAAGCCATCGAAGTTGTTTCTCCTTAAATTTAGAACACGAAGAGTCTTAATCCTCTCAATTAAACAGGATGGTATTGCTCCGCTCAAACTGTTGTTAGACAAGTCAAGAACTTGTAGCCATTCGGTATTGCATATTGATTGCGGTATTGCTCCGGTAAGGCGATTATTTGAAAGGGAGAAGAAAAGGGTAAAGTTGAAGTAATTACTGATGTTAGGGGGGATGAAGGAAGAAAAATTATTGCTGGAGTAATCCACATAGATAATAAATGATGGAGGAAATGGAATGCTCCCTTGGAGCTGGTTATGATGCAGGTCTAAGATGCTAAGACCAGGAAGAGACAAAGGTCTTTCTAGATCAACCAGGAGATTGCGTGAAAGATTCAGATATTGAAGAAGACTAAGTTCTGAAATCCAACCAGGTACCGGCCCAGTAATTTGGTTGTCTGAAAGGTCTAAATGGAAGAGTTGTGATTGTTTCCTTAGATCCGGAAACATTCCGAGGTCGCAAGAAGCCAATCTTAGTTTTTTGATTTGTGGAAGGGAAGGCACGGTGGAATTGCTACCACTTGCATTCACTGTCAAGTTGTTGTATGACAGGGCAAGTGTGGTGAGACTGGGAAGTTTCTGAATCCAATGTAATTCCACCGTGCCATTGAGCTTATTGGATGAAAGTTCAAGGACAATGAGTTTAGCAAGACCAAAAACAGAACTGGGAATAGGACCTTCTAATTTGTTGCAGCTCAAATCCAGGATAACCAAAAGAGAGGAAGACACGTTTGGAAACTCAGGAATCTGTCCCCCAAATCGGTTGTTGGAAAGCTGTATCTTCTGCAGCGGCGGGATTGCAAACAAAGATGAGGGGATGCTCCCGTTGAATGCATTGTACCCTAAATCAACATGGGTGAGGCTTCGAAGGCCTTCCCAGTGACTGGATGGAATCTCACCTGTTAGTTGATTGTGAGAGAAATCTACATAGGTGAGATTCTTGGACTTGCGGAATGATGGGAGTGTGCCTGTGAACATGTTGGATGACAAGTCCAGATAAAACAGCTGGGTGAGATTAGCCATTGAATTTGGAATTGGTCCAGTGAAATTGTTACCCGCTGCCCCTAGCTCTATTCTGGATAATTTCTCGAGTTCACCAATGGACTGTGGTAATGTTCCCGAAAAATTTGTGCTACTGAGCAGGAGGGTCCGAAGAGAGAGATTCTGATGGAACTCCGGAAAAGAACCCTGAAGGAATTCGTTGGATGACAAGTCAAGGATCTCTAGTGTTGGTACCTGGAATATAGCTTGTGGAAATATTCCGTTCAACTGGCAAGAGCTAAGCTGCAAGGCAGTCAATTTCGAGTAATTTGCAAGGAATTCTGGAACTGGAGCAGACAAATTATTACCGCTCAAACGAATTATTGAAAGAGACTGAAGCTTTGCAAGGGAAGCATCAAGAGGACCCGAAAGATAGCAGCTGCACATGCTCAGCACTTTTAGATTTGGCAGTGAAGATAAGGCCTTGCACCAGTCATTTCCGTGTGCTGATATATTAACACCATCAAGAAGGAGCTCTGTTAGGTGTGTGAGATTTTGAACCAATGTTGCAAAATTAGGCTTCTCGAGTTTCAGTGCACGACTTCCAGGGAAGGAAAGGGCAGACAAATCAAGACTGACCAACCTTGTCAGCTTTGAGAAACCATTTGGAATCTGGCCTGTAAAGCCAGCACTGAACAAATTCAGTGAAATCAAATCCGTGAGGTTGGCAAACCCGACTGGCAGAGCTGTGCTGAAGCTGTTGAAGGACAAGTTTAGACTCTGAAGAAATTGAAGACTGAAAAGCCCGCTTGAATCGTCAAGTCCACCAGTGATTGATTCATTGCTCAAGTCGAGGCCTATAACACGATCTAGCCCACCAATATCGCAGCTTATACCTCTCCACTCGCAGCAATCCGTGCTGGGATTCCATGTCACCAGTTTGGTGGACATAGATTCATAGAATACGAGAGTGTTCTTTAATTGGAGCAACAAAGATTGCTGATCGCTCTGGCATCTGCCAGAAACCAGACCTATGTTCATGCTGGAGAGCATCGTTAGAAGGGGCATGAAGAAAAACAAAGTAAAGAGAGGAATTTTCATTGTCGAGTGGATTGTTTGACACAAATCAATTACAGCTCGTCAAGTCTTTAACATGTATGATAATTATGAAGGTACATAATTACCATAGATTTTAATAAAGACTTTTTATTGTAGATGACATTTAAACGCATTGACCTGGGCTGTTGGAGACTAGGGACTCAATGAAAGAAAATTATTTTCCTTTCTTATTATACCGTGTATTATAGAGTTAGACATCATATAATCAAAGCCAGTCCTCGAATCAATGCAAGTTTCTAGCCCTCAGATCAGTAGATCTTGCTCTTCAATTAGATTTTAATGCTTCCCTATTAGATTTATTTATTGGAGTTTTAACCTGTATTAAATCTAGTGTTTTATTGATAGCTTTATTTTCGCACCAGCTCTGTCACATAACTAAACAATAAAAAGTTTAAGCACAAACAGCACTCGAAAATTAAAGGTTAAGGATGATATTAATGAAGCCAAATAACAAAATTAACTCCCTCTGAATCCTTGTATTCATTCACTACACTTGTAATAACGCGTGATTAATTCTTGCTCAAATGTGAATTTAAATAATAAAAAAAAAACGCGTGTTTAGCCAAGAAATTCAAAACATTCAAATACTTTAATTTTTAAATAAAAAAAAGACTGATGTGTAAAGTTTTTTTATATTGGATTTCAATCTGTGTTTTTTAGCATAAGAAATCTACTCCGACATTTATGTGTTTCTCTTTGGAACTGGCCAGCTTCTTATTATGATAAAAGCCATTGACTCATTACTGGGTCAAAAACCAACTTTAGTTCTAAACCAATGAGTTCTATTCCAATCACGGACACATTTTAGTAAATTTCACTTTCATAGATCTCAAAAATCAAAATTCATGAGGCATTAGTTTTGATATCCATTAAAAAAAAAAAAAACCTTTATGAACTTAAAGATAGTAAATTTATCCTTACGTCTGCTATTGGAAAAGAAAATACAAATAAGCTTGGATTGGGCTTTTTGGTCTTGAATTTGAAATCTCAAAAAAATAGGTTTTTAGATTCATATATAAGGTCCATGAACAAAAAGCTCCCCTTTTTTTAATTCAATTCAATCTCATCCTGGTTAACAAGATTAGCTTTGGATCTATCAAATAGATTGGATCTCTTTAGAACAACCAAGTCAATTGGATCAGTTAAGATAACTTTCATGTAATTTAATTTTAAACTAATATCCATAAAATATTGGGTTGGAAGATTTTTTAATATCAATTTTATTTTATTTTCAATTTCATTCTTATAATTTTTTTTTACCATTCATTAGGTTGTCTTTGAATTAACAAACTTGATTGGGTCGTATTGAATTAACAAACTTGATTGGGTCATATTGAAGCATTTTTACTCAATTTAATTTTAAAAACAGACTAGGTAAAGAATCAAGTCAAGAGGTTTTAAGGTTAATTCATTAAATCGTGTTTAGTAACAATATCAAATAATTCTCAATAATCTAAATATTTTTTCTTATAATTTTTTTTAGAAAAATTAATTCTACTCATGGCATAGGACGTGCCTGTAAACTAGTTTGAAACTAAAAGGATGGAAGCCGGAATGGATAAAGAGAGCACCAATATTATACAGTAGCGAGACTTGAAGGATCAATCCGGAGGTGAAAATTTGTGAAAGACTATTATGAGGTTGGTGGAAAGTCCACATTTTGAATGAGGTTGGTGGAAAATTTGTGAAAGACTAGTCGATGATAGGCTTCAAATCTGTAGAAATTTTGTGCTCTTGAACCAACATCGTTGATCATAAAACTTGAGAAAAAGGGAGACTTAGTTATGATGGGTGTTCTTGCACTGTCCTCACAGAAGCACCAGTCAACAAGCCTTTTTTTGTTTTTCCCTTCTTCAACTCTATAATAATCCTTTAAATAAATTCACGTACCTCCTAACCGAACATGATCCTACTTTTCACCCAAAAAAAAAATAGTTATTAAATTCAAAATACATATGAAATAAATATAAAATAAATAGACTATTTTTTTTAATTTTTTTAATATAATAAAGTATGAAGTATAATTTATTTTTGTGAAATTTTGCCATATGTAAATTAAAATAAAATTATATTTTTGAAATAAAAAGTATTTTTATTGTTGTTTTTGTAGAAGGAAATCGATTTGTTTAATATTGAAAAAACATTTGCATGAAGATCACAATGCAAAATATCAAAAACTAGCAAATTACAATGGCCATAACCATAGGATTTTGTATTTCTATCAGCTGCTTCTTATGAACAAGGCAAAAGAACTCTGATTTAATATATTTTCGGAATGCAGGGGCTATGGTTTTACACCTGGTTTTAAGGCTGTTTTTCAACAGCAAACCAGCAACCTATCGTATCTCGGCCGAAATTCAAAACGTTCAGATACGTTATAGGTTTAAAAGTGTTATGAGTTGCGGGATAAAACCTTGCTCTTTCTTATTTTACTACATCACAGAAATTCTAGCCTAAAGAACCTAGCCTCAGACTCGCTCGCTTCCCCCATGAGAATGATGTCATCTGCTTACTGTCCGTGGTTGATTGCTTGAACATTTGGGGCTTTTTCACACTTGTTGATTGGCCTAGGCTTAGACCACAGATACAAGTTAAGTCACTCAACAAATACCTGTACGTAGCAACCACAATCAACATTTAGCTTGCAAAACTGTAAAACTCACACTCACCAAAGTAAAGCAATCCAATTATACCCTGAAATATCGAAAGCTAACCAATAATTGAAATACAGCTGCTAAAGCTGACACTCATCAGCTGAGGAATGCAGAGAAATCTGATGCCCTGACAGCACGCAGATATCTAAAGCAGGCCTAGGCTACAACATATTATTACAGATTCACAAAAACGAAGCAAACAAAAGAAACTGTCGCATTTATCCAATAACTGCGAGGTCCCTTGGACGAATGATTGAGGACCTACAATTGGTGGACAAAGAGAATAAAAACTAAAGTAGTAACTAAACTTCTTATTGCAAATGTCAACAAACTGAAAACAGAACAAAACATATAGCAGGATATAAAATAGAAGCCATGGGAAATATTAATTGCAAATGCTCTCACCACGCGCATTGATCTTCTTCACCAATGTTACTGCCTTCTTCTGTTTCTTTGAGCTCTTCTGCCAAGACTCTTGCTTCTTTTATCTAGTTGAGGGAAGATTCTGAAAATTACACGATTAACATGCGTGTAGTACCACGTTCTCCATCTCTTGCAGAACATAAGAGGTAGAATAACAATCCCCAGCCCGAAAATATATCCGAATTCAACACTTAAGAAGTTCCAGTCAATCTCTATACCAGAATTTGATCCACTGGTATTGTAGCATGCTGAAATGAATGGATGGGAGCATGCTAAAATTAATGGAGGCCCGCATAATCCTTGGTTACCTTCAAAGGAATCGGGTGAGAACGTCTGTATTTGAGTACCTTCTGGGATCTGTCCCACTAACCTGTTATATGAGAGATTCAGGACTGAAAGGAATGACAGGCTTGCAAGCTGTTGTGGGATTTGTCCAGACAATTGGTTAGATGAGAGGTCTAAGGACTCGAGCTGTGACAGGTTGCCTAAAGATGATGGAATTTGGCCTGTGAGTACATTATGTGACAAGTTGAGAGCATAGAGGGCATTGAACTGTCCTATGGCATCTGGTATTGGCCCTTCAAAGTTGTTGCTTGAAAAGTCAGCAGAGGTAAAGACAGTTAATATCTTCACCAGCTCCAGCTCGAGACCCTTGAGTGTGACTGTTACTGAATCTTGATAATACAGTCCATTCGTCAGCTTCAGGGGATCATATCTTATGTGCTCAAGGCTTTTGTTTCCACCTTCCATCATTCCTTCCCACGTTTTCAAGCAAATATTTGGTAGGTTTCCTCTGAAATGGTTGAAAGCTAGGTCCACGATCTGAAGCCTTGGCCAAGTGCCTTGGATTTGTGGACATCCAATACGCCCGGAGAAGGTGTTGTTTCGCAGAACAAGGACACGCGTGTTGTTTCGCAGAACTAGGACACGAAAACTCGAAATGTTCTTAAGAAGACACGGGAAGATGTCATTGATTTGATTGTTCCCGAGGTCTAAGACCTCTAACATAGTGCAATTTGCCAGAGATTTTGGAACCTGCCCTTGCAAGTTGTTTCCACTCAGATCCAGAGTCTTCAATTCACAGCTTCTTGGAAATTTATCAGGAATAATGTCATCGAAGTTGTTTCTCCTTAAATTTAGAACACGAAGAGTCTTAATCTTTTCAATTAAACAGGATGGTATTGCTCCGCTCAAACTGTTGTTAGACAAGTCAAGAACTAGTAGCTCTTCGGTACTGCATATCGATTGCGGTATTGCTCCCCTAAGGTGATTATTTGAAAGGGAGAAGAAAAAAGTGAAGTTGAAGTAATTACCGATGTTAGGGGGGATGAAGGAAGAAAAATTATTGCTTGAGTAATCCACATAGGCAATAAATAATGCAGGAACTGGAATGCTACCTCGGAGCTGGTTATGATGCAGGTCTAAGATGTTGAGACCAGGAAGAGACAAAGGTCCTTCTAGATCAACCAGAAGATTGCGTGAAAGATTCAGATATTGAAGAAGACTAAGTTCTGAAATCCAACCAGGTACCGGCCCAGTAATTTGGTTGTCTGAAAGGTCTAAATGGAAGAGTTTTGATTGGTTCCTTAGATCTGGAAACATGCCCAGGTCGCAAGAAGCCAATCTTAGTTTCTTGATTTGGGGAAGGGAAGGCATGTTGGAATTGCCACCACTTGCATTAACTGTCAAGTTGTTGTACGAGAGGCCAAGAGTGGTGAGATTGGGAAGTGTCTGAATCCAATGTAATTGCAACGTGCCATTGAGCTTATTGGATGAAAGTTCAAGGACATTGAGTTTTGCAAGACCAAAGACAGAACTGGGAATAGAACCTTGTAATTTGTTGCTGCTCAAATCCAGGGTATCCAAAAGAGAGGAAGACACGTTTGGAAACACAGGAATCTGTCCCCCAAATCTGTTGTTGGAAAGCTGTAGCTTCTGCAGCGACGGGATTGCAAGCAACGATGAGGGGATGCTCCCGTTGAATGCGTTGTAACCTAAATCAACATAGGTGAGGCTTCGAAGGCCTTCCCAGTGACCGGATGGAATCTCACCTTTTAGTTGATTGTGAGAGACATCCACATAGGTGAGATTCTTGGACTTGCGGAATGATGGGAGTGTGCCTGTGAACTTGTTGGATGACAAGTCCAGATAAAACAGCTGGGTGAGATTAGCCATTGAATTTGGAATTGGTCCAGTGAAATTGTTACCCGCTAGCTCTATTCTGGATAATTTCTGGAGTCCACCAATGGACTGTGGTAATGTTCCCGAAAAATTTGTGTTACTGAGCAGTAGGGTCCGAAGAGAGAGATTCTGATGGAACTCCGGAAAAGAACCTTGAAGGAATTTGTTGTATGACAAGTCAAGGATCTCTAGTGTTGGTAACTGGAATATAGCTTGTGGAAATATACCGTTCAACTGGCAAGAGCTGAGCTGCAAGGCAGTCAATTTCGAGTAATTTGCAAGGAATTCTGGAACTGGAGCAGACAAATTATTACCGCTCAAACGAATTATTGAAAGAGACTGAAGCTTTGCAAGGGAAGCATCAAGAGGGCCTGAGAGATAGCAGTTGGACATGCTCAGCACTTTTATATTAGGCAGTGAAGATGATAAGGCCTTGCACCAGTCATTGCCGTGTGCTGATATATTAACACCATCAAGAAGGAGCTCTGTTAGGTGTGTGAGATTTT